GAATTCCCCAGCCAGCCATGGGGAATTCTGGGAGTTGAAGTCCACTCATCTTAAAGTGGCCAAGTTTGGACAACACTATTAATTTAACAAAACAACTAAAATATAACTCTGTATATAGTTATAGTATTTTGAACAGGCTAATGCTGAATTGATTTACCTGCCTCATCTAAGTTATTCAGTGAAGTATAGAGTTCAGTTTGATGGGTAGACTTTTGTTTAGGGATTTGTCTTAAAAAAAAAAAAAAAACTGTTCCAAAAGGCTGGCAAGTTAACAGAACAGACTTTATTTTAAATAAATAGTAGCAATAGGTTTTATCCTGAGCATAAAAGAATACTCTTGAACAATGGAAAGCCAGCTTATAATGCTTACTTTCATATTAATACTGAAACAATTGTTTTAATATGGACCCAGCAAATGTTGGAATGCAAGAAATCAAAACTGCTTTTTAAAAAAATGAAAATCAAACATTCAATGTTTATAATTCCTGGATTACCCCTCCTGTCGTAATTCTCAACTTCATCATACTTGTAAAAATACAGCAGCACTTTGACTTTTTAACATACAGTAAATAATTCTTATTAAAAAAGGACTTCCCTTTCCAATGAAAATGTACACTTTTGTAACAATGAAAATAGCTATGGCTGTAAACACAAGACAGTTAGCAAGTCGTCTTTTTTTTAAGAGAGTAAAACAATTTAGCTTTAAATAAACTTTTAAAAAATCACTTCATTGTAATTGTGATGGTCATAGGACTCATGATTCAACCATCAGTATAGAATCTGAAAGCTTTAAAACCTGCTAAAAGAAATCCTCCATGTACATCAGGCTTTATCAGCAATAAACATCTGTGCTGAAGTTTCTGGTTTGTATGGCCTAAAGTGAGGCTTCCAATAAACTTCCAAAAATTTACTTCCACAAATAAAAATGGACGAGGGAGAATAGCTACTTCATGCTCTTGTGAACCTCAGAGCTGAAGTGAACATGAACAGGTCTCCTACACTTTTTATGGATGCACAGAAGCATACCAAGTTTTAGATTATTTCATCAGTTCCTGCAGAACAGTCTGACACCCACACCCACCCATCAGAAGATATTTTTTCCATAACATTATTTAAGGATGCCACGAGTCTTGATTTCCTTTGCATCTGGTCAGCTTTGCATACCATGTGATAAAACGGCTATGCCTCAACCACATTGCACGGCCAACTGCGCTGAGCAGATGAGATGGGAGATGGGAGAAGAAGATATTAATTAAACGGTGACAATCCAGTATCAGGACTTGATGAGAGGCAATTCAGAAATAGCTTAGAGGGAAAAGTCAGTAATGCAACGACTGTTCCTGATGTATAGAGATAAGCAACACCTTTTTAAACCAAATCTGCCTGAAAATAACTCTTATTAGAATCAGGATCTATTTCCAAGTAAATGTTTTTACAAAAGTAACTTAACTCTCAGGAAAATGAGTAACTGTGCAGGGATGAATTTATGACCTTAACCTGGATCATTTGCAAAATAAACCCGGTAGGACAAGAGTGGAGAGATGGCTATTTCATCCTTACTGACAGTTCCTTAGATTTGAGTTCGGAATGTGCAAAGAATACAGTTTTAGTTCCAAATTAAATAGGTGCATTAGGAATATTCCAATTAGGCAATTCTTTTTCTGCAGCTTTTCCCTCCAACCCTGTAACAATATTGCATGCAACCTATTTAAGAGCACTTTAAGTCCAGGTGTTCTCCCATAAAATATGACACCTATTTAAGAGAAATATCTAGCCCTCGTAACAGCAAACATGGGTCTTTCCAGTAAACAAGGAAAGTTATCTTCAAATGAAAGCAAACAGTACAATTAGCAGCCATTTGAATCTCACTAATAAACAGAGACGGGTACTTTAGCACCAAGAAGAATATACAGTTTGGACATCCCTGTTGCCTCCCACCCCATTCTGATGGCCATTCTTAAACAGCAGATATTCACAATCAGCCGTCAAAATATATGGATGCCCTGAAGAGTACTTGGGGGTGCAGCATTTTAGCACACTTTCTTATTGAACACAGGACTATTTATTTCTGAGGTAAGATACTTAGAAGTCTTGCTTCGTTGCAAATCCAGAATCTTGCTTTGACAACAGTGTCCATTTGTGCTAGCAACTAAAAGTACAAATGTCATTATGTCTTGCATTTCAGCCCCATTCTGATGCATACTGATTCAGAAGCTACAAGATGGATGTATTTAATGGGCTTATTTCTAAAAAAGACACCCATTGGGTGACAGTTATATAGCTCAGTTCCTTTGTGGGTACTGTCAGAAGTTAGATCCTCTCATTTCAATGAACCACGATTTCTAGAAATTCATCCACTGAATCTGGGGATTTCCCTTGTACACTTATATAAAACAAGACTGCATCTGTCCAATTGCAAGGCTCTTAATGGGATCAGCCTACTGATCCTAAAGCCATGTATGACTGTACATATGATGGGATTAACAGATTGGTCAACATAGTCACTTTATTTTCCTGTTTGTCTCTTAATAATTGCACAACAACTTGCAGGTAGCCTGTACCTGTCAAAGGGCTGCTGTTGAGCTGTAAATTTAGCCTAGATATAGTGGATTACTTTGTCTGCCAGACTACCTTTATCTAAATTACTACTAAGCCCAGGAACTCATTTAATATAGATTTTTAACTAGTCAAGATAAATGAACTAGAAATGCTAAGGACTGAACTTGGGCATTACACATATGTAAGTACCCAGCATTATATGGATCCAATTATAAAACTCATCATTGGCATGACATCCAAACTACATTAAGAAATTTTAGGTTAGTCTTAAGGTATGCGTCTTTGCTGACTTGGAATTCAGCCATACAGTAGTAGACTTCAAGAAGGGAAACAATGATTTACAATTAAGTGTAAAGTGTTTAAAGTTGGCTAGTGTGGAACTAATAACCTGAACTGCTAAGGAGTTTTTTTCCTCCCCCAGCAAAACAGAAGTTAAAGAGTAATAAGCTGAAAAGAATTCCTTATCTTTCTCTAAATACGTACTGCTGAAAGCTTTTTTCTGTAAATCTGGACTTTTATACTGCACAGAGTAACAGAAAGTTCAGATAAATCTTTCCTTCACAAACACAAGTTTCTGTACCTTGAGGTTCTCCTCCCACACCCCCACCCCTTTTCCAGCCCCACCTGGTTTAGGGAAAAAGTAATGGGCGGGTTTCAGAGGGAGCCCTTTCCTCAGTGTTAGAGACAATGCCCATTATATCAAAACCAACTTCTGAGCCTCTCCCATCTTGACATCTAATTCACTCCCCTCTCCAAATCATGTGCAAATTGTTACCAGTTTGTAAACATGAACCCCCGTCCCAGCTTAATCGCAATCGCAAACCGTCTTTGCGTTCTAGTTCCTGAGAACAGTCTTCTATAAATAGCAATCAAATCCCTACTGTGGTAGTTATAATACCCACACATTATTACCCATGAAAGGCCCAGCCAGCAGGCTTTTAAAATATATATATATATATAAATATATATCTATATCTATACCATCAGAGATCTCCCCTGGACCGACTGTTCTTGAGCGCTAAAACAGCATTTCAGCGGATCCAGCCAAGTCAACACTGTTGCTGCACCTCGGAAGACGTCCTCCCCGAAGGAAGCGCCGCAGCCCCAGCCTTAGGAGAGCTTGGCCACGCACACCGCCAGGACTATGGCGATCAGGAGGACGGCGGTAAACACGCCGCCGGCCAGCACCTTGCTGAGATCGCAAACGGGTCTGTTCTCCACCGAGATCGCGCCGAGGGACGAGGCGCCCACGCTGATGGTGGCATTCAGCTCGGCGCCCGGGTCTTGCTTGGCCTCGACCGTCCAGCGCGGGACGTTGACCTTCATCTCCATCTCGTAGAGCATCTCCCCCACCTGGTGGATCTCGTGCTCCAGGTCCGCCAGGTCCACCACGTCGATGTCGGGCTCCGCCTCGTACTTCATGTTCTGCACGCTCATGGCCCGGGCGGCCACGCCGGCGGTGCCGCCGCTCAAGCCGGTCTGGATGAGCGGCTTCTTGGGCACGTGGAGCGGGAACGCCTGCCCCAGCTCCAGGGCGCGCCGCATGTCGCTCTCCAAGATCTCCAAGCAGGCGGAGAAGACGACCCAGAGGCGCTCGAACTCCGCCCGGTCCGCCGCGCCGAGCGCCTTGTC